CTCTCTCTCTCTCTCTCTTTAACATTCCTTCCCTCTTCACATCTTGTTATTCCCCTATTCTATACACCCCATTCACCCCACCCATATATATTGCTCCCAGGCATCTCTCTATCACTTTTAAATTACCTCTTCTTTCTTTCTCTCTCTCGTCTCCTTAGTCCACTCTACTCACTCTGCTCACTCTGATCACTGTATCCACTCTGCTCACTCTACTCTCTCTCTGCTCATCCATACAGTTAGTTGTGTTGACTATGGTCTTAATCCCATCTTTACTTTACCTCTGATGTGGGTTTTTTCAGTGAGTATATTTTCTGGTATTTCATTCTGTTTATTTTCTAGGTTGGGTTTCATACTCTGTAACCCTAATCTAACCTAACTTAAAGTTAATCTAATCTAACCTAACCTAATCCAACCAGTAATGTTTATAGCTTTCCATTTGTCTCACCCACCACAGTAGCACCATCACCCACCACAGTAGCACCATAACCCACCACAGTAGCACCATCACCCACCACAGTAGCACCATCACCCACCACAGTAGCACCATCACCCACCACAGTAGCACCATAACCCACCACAGTAGCACCATCACCCACCACAGTAGCACCATCACCCACCACAGTAGCACCATCACACTATTTAAATTCATATGTATGGATTTTCACCTCTGAATGTCTTACTGCTATCCATTCACATTCCTGTCCATCTGTATGTCTGTATGTCTCTTCCACACACACACACACACACACACACACACACACACACACACACACACACACTGGATAGCCTAAGGGTGACCATTCCACCGTCCTGCCTTGCTATGGACTATTGAATAACAGAGAAGGCATGTCGTCGTGTTTGAGAAGCGCGGCACCTTCTCCTACCCTACGGCTAATGGCACCCCTGGCCAGTGCCTCGCCCTGTTGACACTCTCTCGCTCACACGGACAGGCACACACACACACACATATATATATACACCCAAAAGCGACAAAAAAACCTGGTCAGTAAAAATTCAACAAGTAGTTTCTTTTGAAGATGTTGTGTGTGCTGGTGGTGGTCACAGATGAGTGGGGGGGAGAGGGATGAGTGGGAGTGAAAGGGATGAGTGAGGAGGGTGAGAGGGATGAGTGGGGGTGAGAGGGATGAGGGGGAGAGGGGTGAGAGGGGATGAGGGGAGGGGTGAGAGGGATGAGTGGGAGGTGAAAGGGATGAGGGGGAGGGTGAGAGGATGAGTGGGGGAGGGGTGAGAGGGACAGTGGGGAGGGGTGAGAGAGGGGATGAGGGGTGAGATGGGAGAATGAGGGAGGAGGGGTGAGGTATGGTGAGTATAGGGGTGATAGGTAGAGGAGAGAAAGAGAGAGAGAGAGAGAGAGAGAGAGAGAGAGAGAGAGAGAGAGAGAGAGAGAGAGAGAGAGAAATGAGGGAAGGAGAAGGAAAGGTGAGAGAGGGAGAAAGGAGAAAAGATGAGAGGGGGATATAAGAGAAGATAATTGCCATACAGGAGGGGCAAATGATGAAGAAGAGGTGAGAGGAAGGGGAGAGGGAAAAGGTTTGGGAGGAGAGGATATTATGCAGGACTAGGAGAGGGGAGAGGGGGAGATCAGGGTGAGAGGAGAGAGGAAGATCAGGTGAGAGGAGAGGGAGATCAGGAGAGGGAGAGGGAGACTGGGGTGAGAGGAAGGGGGAGATCAGGTGAGGTGGGAAGGGGGGAGATCAGGTGAGAGGGGAGAGGGAGATCAGGTGAGAGGGAGATCAGGGGTGAGGTGGGATACGCCAACTGGAAGCTTGTGGCTATAAGGGTGCGAAAGGAGACACAGAGAGAGAGAGAGAGTATATGTGTGTGTGTGAACAATGACAGAGGACAGAGGAGATAAGAGGAATATGTACATGTGTGAGTGTGTGAGAGTGAGCGAGTGTGAGAGTGAGTGAGTGTGTGAGAGTGAGTGAGAGTGTGAATGAGTAGGAATAAGAGTTAGATCAGTGAGAGTTGGAGAGCCAGAGAGAGAGAGAGAGAGAGCGCTTGAGAGCTTAAATTACAGGTGTGAATGAAGTGTGTCCTAGTGGTAGTCCTGGTAAGAGAGAGAGAGAGAGAGAGAGAGAGAGAGAGAGAGAGAGAGAGAGAGAGAGAGAGAGAGAGAGAGAGAGAGAGAGAGAGAGAGAGAGAGAGAGACTAACTTCACGAGCTGGAATTAAAACGAGAATTGCTTTCTGATAGAGGTAGAGTGTGGTGGTGGTGTAGGGTGGTGTTTCGTAAGTATTGTGTTGTGATGTTGTATTATTGTGTTGTGTTGTTGTGTTGTTGTATTGTTGTGTTGTTGTATTATCATGTTGTGTTGTTGTATTATCATGTTGTGTTGTTGTATTATCATGTTGTGTTGTTGTATTATCATGTTGTGTTGTTGTATTATCATGTTGTGTTGTATTATCATGTTGTGTTGTTGTATTATGTCAGTTGTTGTATTATCATGTTGTGTTGTTGTATTATCATGTTGTGTTGTTGCATTATCATGTTGTGTTGTTGTATTATCATGTTGTGTGGGTTGTTGTATTATCATGTTGTGTTGTTGTATTATCATGTTGTTGTTGTTGTATTATCATGTTGTGTTGTTGTGTTGTTGTATTATCATGTTGTGTTGTTGTGTTGTATTATCATGTTGTGTTGTTGTATTATCATGTTGTGTTGTTGTATTATCATGTTGTGTTGTTGTATTATCATGTTGTGTTGTTGTTTTATCATGTTGTGTTGTTGTATTATCATGTTGTGTTGTTGTATTATCATGTTGTGTTGTTGTATTATCATGTTGTATTGTTGTATTATCATGTTGTGTTGTTGTATTATCATGTTGTGTTGTTGTATTATCATGTTGTGTTGTTGTATTATCATGTTGTGTTGTTGTATTATCATGTTGTGTTGTTGTGTTGTATTATCATGTTGTGTTGTTGTAATATCATGTTGTGTTGTTGTATTATCATGTTGTATTGTTGTGTTGTTGTATTATCATGTTGTATTGTTGTGTTGTTGTATTATCATGTTGTGTTGTTGTATTGTTGTGTTGTTGTATTATCATGTTGTGTTGTTGTATTATCATGTTGTGTTGTTGTATTATCATGTTGTGTTGTTGTATTATCATGTTGTGTTGTTGTATTATCATGTTGTGTTGTTGTATTATCATGTTGTGTTGTTGAATTATCATGTTGTATTGTTGTGTTATCATGTTGTGTTGTGTTATCATGTTGTGTTGTTGTATTATCATGTTGTGTTGTATTATCATGTTGTGTTGTTGTATTATCATGTTGTGTTGTTGGGTATTATCATGTTGTGTTGTATTATCATGTTGTGTTGTTGTGTTGTGGTATTATCATGTTGTGTTGTGTTGTATTATCATGTTGTGTTGTTGTGTTGTATTATCATGTTGTATTGTTGTATTATCATGTTGTATTGTTGTGTTATCATGTTGTGTTGTTGTATTATCATGTTGTATTGTTGTGTTGTATTATCATGTTGTATTGTTGTATTATCATGTTGTATTGTTGTGTTATCATGTTGTGTTGTTGTATTATCATGTTGTGTTGTTGTATTATCATGTTGTATTGTTGTGTTGTTGTATTATCATGTTGTATTGTTGTGTTATCATGTTGTGTTGTTGTATTATCATGTTGTGTTGTTGTATTATCATGTTGTATTGTTGTGTTGTTGTATTATCATGTTGTATTGTTGTGTTGTTGTATTATCATGTTGTGTTGTTGTGTTGTATTATCATGTTGTATTGTTGTATTATCATGTTGTATTGTTGTGTTATCATGTTGTGTTGTTGTATTATCATGTTGTGTTGTTGTATTATCATGTTGTATTGTTGTATTATCATGTTGTGTTGTTGTATTATCATGTTGTGTTGTTGTATTATCATGTTGTGTTGTTGAATTATCATGTTGTATTGTTGTGTTATCATGTTGTGTTGTGTTATCGTTGTTGTGTTGTTGTATTATCATGTTGTTATTATCGTTGTGTTGTTGTATTATCATGTTGTGTTGTTGTATTATCATGTTGTGTTGTTGTGTTGTATTATCATGTTGTGTTGTTGTATTATCATGTTGTGTTGTTGTATTATCATGTTGTGTTGTTGTATTATCATGTTGTGTTGTTGTGTTATCATGTTGTGTTGTTGTGTTATCATGTTGTGTTGTTGTATTATCATGTTGTGTTGTTGTATTATCATGTTGTGTTGTTGTATTATCATGTTGTGTTGTTGTATTATCATGTTGTGTTGTTGTATTATCATGTTGTGTTGTTGTATTGTTGTGTTATCATGTTGTATTGTTGTATTATCATGTTGTGTTGTATTATCATGTTGTGTTGTTGTATTATCATGGTGTGTTGTTGTATTATCATGTTGTGTTGTTGTATTATCATGTTGTACTGTTGTGTTGTATTATCATGTTGTGTTGTTGTATTATCATGTTGTGTTGTATTATGTTGTATTGCTGTTGTATCATTGTGTTATGATGTTGTATTATTGAGTTGTGATTTTGTATCATTGTGTTGCGATGTATCATTGTGTTGTGATGTATTATTGTGTTGTTGTGATGTATTATTGTGTTATCATGTTGTGCTGTAGCGTTGTGAGGGTTCATGGCCCCTCAGATAAGATAACATGATGGTCTGTGTTGATATCGATAAATCATGGTGGCGGGAGCTGGGCCTATGAGCACATTCCCCTCCCACAGCATCACCGCGACTGTCCTCCTCCTCGCCCACTACTCGCTACTGTCACAGCCAATGGGCGGGGCCAACTGCGCTCATTGGTCCGCCCGCTATTAAATTCCAGGCCTCCCCTCAGTCGGCGCGTTGATTGGCCAGCGAGTGATGGTGGGCGGGGCCGGTATGTGCAAAATGTCGGAGGGTGGCTGAGCGCAGACCTGAGGTGTGTGTGTGTGTGTGTGTTGGGTATTTTAGATAAATAAATGGACTCTGATTGTAGAGCTCAGTGTTGACAGGATCGTGGCTGGGCAGCGCGAGCCTCAGTGTGTGTTACCGTGTGTGCGTGCCGCCGCTAGACTGACGTGCACACAGACCTTGCCACCACCACACACACAAACACACACACACACACATACACCTACACGCGCCCGCCGTTTTAGATTACGCACACACACACAAACGACACAGTGACCGATAAAGACAAGGGGTGTACATTTATATATGTGTGTGTGTGTGTGTGTGTGTACAGTGCCCTAGCGAAGACCACGTGTACGTGTTGATGACCAGTGCCACAGCCACCCAACGTGCGGCAGTGACGGTAAGTACACATGCTACTTCCCTCAAACTCCAAAATAACATCATAATATATAAGTAACTCATTAACAACTATTTTACAACATATCTACAACCTTGTGATAGTTGTTTTGTGTAATTGTGTTGCGTTGGTGTGTTGTGAGGTGTTGCGTCGGACCAAACTACTGCTCTCCATCCCCGTAAATATCGTTAACTAATACCTATATGTTTTATTCGCCTTAAGACCACAGTTATATTATTCTGTTACTAACTTAACCTAACCCAAATTAACCTAATTATACCTAACGTAAATTAACCTAGCCTAACCTAAATTAATCTAACCTAGCCTAAAATAACCTAACCTAACCTAACCTAAAATTAACCTAACCTAACCTAAATTAACCTAACCTAACCTAACCAAACCTAACCTAAGATCAACCTAACCAAACCTAACGTAAAAGTAACCTAACCTAACCAAACCTAACCTAAATTAACCTAACCAAACCTAACGTAAAATTAACCTAAATTAACCTAACCTAACCTAACCCCTTTAATAAAAAAATAAAATGAAATCACCTAAAAAAAATAACACCGTAAACTTTCCTCATATCAAATTATAATATTTTCCCATTAACACCCAAAGTTTTAATAGTTTGTTATGATCTTCACCGACAGACTCAAAGTATAACATCATTCTGGTGTTAATAATTTGAATATACTTTTAACTGTAATTAAAACTTTATATACGGGGAGGTATGTTTAGTATATTCGCATCGTATAAACATGGATATAATTTGGGTAGTTAGTATATTTTTAATGTATATTCCTAAGTCTTGAAGTTATACCAGTTTAGGTTAATTTATGTACCTTGGGTATATCCACGAATATGCTCCGGATAATGTGGACGATATACCAACAGTTAGTATATTCTCACGATATAACCACGAATATGCTCCGGATAATGTGGACGGTATACCAACAGTTAGTATATTCTCACGCTATAACCACGAATATGCTCCAGATAATGTGGACGATATACCAACAGTTAGTATTTTCTCACGATATAACCACGAATATGCTCCGGATAATGTGGACGATATACCAACAGTTAGTATATTCTCACGATATAACCACGAATATGCTCCGGATAATGTGGACGATATACCAACAGTTAGTATATTCTCACGATATAACCACGAATATGCTCCGGATAATGTGGACGATATACCAACAGTTAGTATATTCTCACGATATAACCACGAATATGCTCCGGATAATGTGGACGATATACCTGCTATTTGTTAGTATATTCTCACGATATATCCACGAATATACTCAGGATAGGAAGATATATCCCATTTTAAACGCTCAAAACAACATACCACTAAAGCTGCCGCACACTGACTGACCCTTCACTGCCCCGGGATAGAATTTAAAACTGGCCAAATCACTTTAAATCTGATTGGCTAATTATTTTACCACCAGACGTTCTAATCACCAATGACAATTAGTTTCCTTAATCCCTTTCTCCTCCCCCTCCTGTTAAAGGGTTCCTCCCCCCCCCCACCGACAACTCTTTAATAATATGCAAATAATTCGAATTGATCTGAACACTATCGTCGATCCTGAGTGTTGACATTAACTCCTGACACCCCTTAAAACTATTAATCCCCCTTAATAGTTCCCCTTAACTATTAACTCTTCTCATTTACCCCTTAAGACTTCCCCCTTAAAATTTCCCGTCCCTCCTTTATCCCTCCCCTTTTCCCCTTAACTCCTCCCCTCACCCCTTAACTCGTCTTTTCCCCTTAACTCCTCCCCTTTCCCCTTAACTCCTCCCCTTTCCCCTTAACTCCTCCCCTTTTCCCCTTAACTCCTCCCCTTTCCCCTTAACTCCTCCCCTTTCCCCATAATCACCGCAATAATATAAATTATAATATGGCCTATAGTTTATATCACTACCTTATAATCGTAACCCTTTTATAATATCTCCCCAAAAATATATTGCTATATTATACGCTAACCTAACCTAACCCAAAAAATATAGGTCAAATATATATGCTAATATCACCAAAATATAAGCCCAATAAATTGAATATTCTATAGGCCTACAAACTTAATCCTTTAGATGCAAATTTCTTCACATGATATATAACCACTTTTAAATATATGCAAATAAGATTATAGTATAGATTATAGGTTAAGTATATAATTATTCTATGATTATTCTTGTCGTGTGTAATTATATGCAAAAGAAACCCACTAAGAATTTTATTACACGTGAATTTATTATCTTGTTTAAACCTTTGCTTAAATAATTACGTTATATAATTATTACTAAACAATTATATGAATAAATTATCGCTTTTCTTAACAATTATATGTACAATTTATCGCTTAATCAATCACTATACGCAAAAAATTTCCCCAATAATTCTAAAAAAAATCGCAAATTATTCTATTAAATGAGAACAATAATCAAATAATCTAGTAAATAATCGATAATCTCAACGCCGGAGCCCCTCAATATTTACTCCAGGTATATTCATGTTAATACTCCAGGTTATATACATATCGCCCGCCGCCAGATATACCTCACATATCGCCAATCTCCATCACTAAATTAACGATATAACATCAATAAGAGATATACCATATGTGACGCTGTGAATATACTCCGGGTATACTGTTGTTATTGTAGTATATTTAAGATAGTTTGGTTAACATACTTCTATCATATATTCGTGTATTGTGAAAGATATACATAAGAGCTTCAGTTTATATATTATTATGTGTATATGTGTTTATATATATACATTACTTATTAATATAGATAACTAAAATGTACTTATATAATTAAAATTAAGGAAAAATTCAATACAATAATAATAATAATAATAATAACAGAACTACTACTACTACTACTACTACTACTACTAATACTACTAATACTACTACTACTACTAATCTCTATACACAGCCAACACAGTATTAGTTGTATGTCTTAATAATTATTGGCTATACGTTGTGTTAGGTAGTCGCTGTATGATGTTTATACCGTATAGGTTTGACTTAGCGGTGAACAGCTGTCAGCGCACACTTATCCCTGGGTTTTAAGTGTTAAGTGCGTCTGTTAAGTGTAATTCTTAAGTGTGGTGATAAGTGAGTTAAGTCTTATAAATTGAAGGAGAGAATAATTGTGTTTTTATTATTATTATTATTATTATTATTATTATTATTATTATTATCATTATTATTATTATTATTATTATTACTATTATTATTATTATCATTATTATTATTATTATTATTACTATTATTATTATTATTATTATTATTATTATTATTATTATTATCGCTCATTATTACAACTGCAATCCTCACCATTAATTACCACTTTCTTACTTTCATTATCATCATCTCTGCCCCTAATTACACAGTTCGTCTCTATCTCTCTCATCCACCCGACCACCGCTCTCATCCGACACCCGACCACCGCTCTCACCCGACTCCCGACCACCGCTAGTGTGACGGATTCGGTAAAATATATCCAGTTTATTTCTTTATTTATTTTATTATATTTTATCTATTTACTGTGAAATATATCCCAGTTATTTATATATTTTTTTGGTTAATTTGTTGTTTTATTGAGAAATATATCACGACCTCGGTAATTAATAATACTGTAATCTATTTTTTCACTAAGAAATTTATGCTTTTATTATTATTATTATATGGTACTACGAAATATACCCTTACTTCTTTATTAAAAAAATTCTTAATCTATAACGTGAAATATATTCCTGAAAAATATTATTACTATTATTAATACTTGATAATTCTAATAGATCTTAATGCGAAATATATTCCTATTTAAACCTCTGTTATATATAACTTACTAGACTTTATCGCGAAATATATCCACCGATTCTTCGTTTAATATCTCACTTTATTGAGAAATATGTCCGTATGAATGTTAATAGCTGCCTCTTACTGAGAAATATATCCATAAACTATTGCTCTATTGATGCTATTTTAACTAAACTTTTAAATATATATCGAATTATTTTTTTATTGACACTGAAATATATTCTTAATTTTTTATACCCAAGAACTTTATTAAAATCTATATCATCTTTTTATTGGCTAGAATTTTACTATTTTATTATATTATTGACTAAATTTGACCGAAATTTTATAAACATTGTGTGAAAAAAATACGTCTTTATCTTATTTCCATGGTTTTAAAACTTTATTAAAATCTTCCATTATCTTTAAAAAATTACTTAAAACTTTGCCTATTTTTTTATCAAATTATTATTGTTTAAAAATTTATTAAGTTAGGTTAGGTTAGGTTAGTATTTTTATTATTTTAATGACAAAAACTTGATTAAATTCCTGATTATTTTCTTATTAATTTTATCCACATTTTTATTATAATCTTTATTTTATTTTATTATCGTCTTTGTTAACGAAATGTAAACAGAAATAAAGGAAATATAGAATAAACAAGGAACAAACAAACAGTAAACAAAATGAATACAAAAAAGCAAACACACAACAAAGAAAATATTTAACAAGAACACTGATAAAAAATATATTCTTGAAACCATAACAAAGACATTATTATTATTATTATTATTATTATTAACCGCCCCATTTATTACCTAAACATTAACACTAAACAGACACTCTATTTAACCCTAATATAACATAAATTAACTAACCTTAACAACACTTCACAGCCATGATGCTCGAACCAGTGTACAAGAGTAAAGTGAATCGTGACCACTAACCACTCCGCCACCTCTCCACGACCTGTAATGGATATTTCTTATAGAATACGATAACAAATATAACTTGGACAATATAACCCTTGAATATGATAACTAGATAAGAGTGTAGTTATGATATCAACAAAATATGATAATAATTATGGGTTTTAATATTATTCTCGGTATGATAGCCAAGATAACATGATAACTTGGAGATAACATAGTGTCACAGTATGATAACTAATATATC